GTTGTAAAAAACGGTCCTACTTGTAAATATTTGGCCTTGCCTAATGGCCACTCCTAAGCAGCAACTATGCAACACAATATGTTAGGCCAATGTCAAACAAATCCACACTCAGTGTTTCCCCTAGGATGGAGTCATAGCAGCGGTGCTAAGGCACGCGGGCCCCGCAAAATGTGAGCGCGGAGCGCGTGGAATTTTTTAGTGAGGCTCTTGAGGCTCTACAGGTGTATTTTGCTAAATCACCTTTATTGAACATACAGTAACACAAATACTACACATCCACTGGATGTGTAGTATTTGTGTTACTGTATGTTCAATAAAGGTGATTTAGCAAAATACACCTGTAGAGCCTCAAGAGCCTCACTAAAAAATTCCACGCGCTNGAGAATCTGAATCTCATCTTTATACAAGGCACAGTACTTTTAAGAAATAACAATATATAACAAATCACTCTTCTTTTTCTTTCTTTTTCTCCAGCTGGGACCACGTACATTTTTGGGAAAGGGGGGGCTCTCATCACTTTCACCTGGGCCCCCAATGAGCGGCCGAGCACCCGAGCCGACCGGTTAGCCGTGGGCTTCAGCACTCAGCAGAAGGACGCCATCTTGGTGCGAGTGGAGAGCACCCATGGGCTCGGAGACTATCTTCAGCTGCACATAGTAAGTCTGGGAAGCAGATTGTGGGGCTTGAAGCAAACTTTTCTCTTTTCGTAATGGGATCCTTCTTTCTACTGTATCTCTCTAAAATACAAGAATAAGAAATATTGTGCACTTTCCTTTTCTCTTATACAAATCTAGAAAACCAGGAAGCTACTTACATTTCCAAATGTGTATGATTTGACAGAGAGATTGTCTGATATGTGTTGCTGTATTTGAGTTTATTTCTAATTTATAAACAAGACAATTCACAAAATCTTGTTATAAATATTTGAGAGGCACTAAAACCCGTAATAGCACTTAAGTTCCTTCCTTTTGTGCTATTTTTAATTTGTTGATTACATCTGTGAATACCCAACAAACAAAACATCTTATATATCAATGATTATAAAAATCAGTGTCAAAAAAAGAAACTCAAACTCCTTAGATCTCAGGGAAATCAGGACAATGTGAAGTGGGCAGCTGAGTCGAACTATGGAAACCAGTCCACTCTCCAAACGAATAACGAAATAATGTCTGAGCAACAACAACAATGAGTAATGTATTCCCAAGTTTGAAAGTAAACAGCTTGTGACTAACGTTGAAAAAGAGCTAAAAAATGATGGCTCAGAAGCCGTTTTTAGATGAGGAAAACATCATAATCTCCCCCTAGATGTGTTGATAAAAGTCTGTCTGGGAGAGTGCTTATGCTTCATCTTGATTATGTGTAATATGAGAATAAATAAACCTCTGTTTTTAAATGAATGTTTTAACTTGAAGGATCAGCAAAGTGTTAGCTAATGCTTAAACATGTTATAATAGCTGATTAATGGAGTGCAAGCATTGAGAACAAATTGAACAAATAAATGACTACTGTACCACGAGATAGAAACACAATACAGTGTGTCAGTAGACAAAGAGAAGTCTTTTGGTGAAAGCAAGTGACTCATCAGCAGCTGGCGGCAACTGAGGGTTTTCTAGAGGGAAATCAGCCTTTTTAGCATGTAGCCACGGGACAGATGTGCAGCGATGAAGACCAGCGGGGGGATCTGTCAAACGTCTGCGTGTGGTGTAATAATTAAAATCACACCTGTTGTCAAAGCACGGGACACAACCACTGGAGTTGGGCCCTTATTATCAGACCACCCAGAGAAAGCTTCATAATAACCGTATAACAGTAGCAGATACTATTCATAGATTATTTCCAAACTGCACTGAAGTGTTCTTAAAAGTGGAAAAGAGTGGCAAATGTACTTAGCACATTTAAGGTATTACAAATAAAAGATGATGTAACAAAAAACTGCATCTAATCTCAATACCTTCCATAATCAATCAGTTTCAGTAAAAGGAGACATCTTAATCACTTAAATACAATCGAGTACATATTTTGATTCAAACTAATATTCAGTTAATTGAGTTTGCAATTAGAAAGTGGCCTTCCACATAGAGACGCTAAGGTTGGTTTCTGCACTTTCCAGATGCTACACATGTTTGGTACAAATATCTTGCCTTGGGGGTTTTTCAAACTGTCTCATCTAAATTGTATTTCCTGTTTTAAAAACTGTAAAACTGACTTTGCCAGCTTTGAAATGTTGCAAGTAAATGCAACGACTTCTTCCTGCGTGCAGAGCTAGCTGAAACGTGTTTGTTTTTTTACCCAGCATCTGCCAAGTCTTTGCACCCTGACAGATTGCTTACCCTGACACCCTATCACTGCTCAGCGGAGGGCAATCAGCAGAGTTCAGAGGTTCCGGAGGTTGTCTTTTTCGGTTTGTCTAACTGAGCTTCATCCAATCACGTCGTATTGTTTCGTACAGACCCGGCTTGCCATTCCTTGTCCTTCTTCTTCAGGATTTAAATTCTACATGTTATCAGTCTGTTCCCTCCCTCTGCTTGTCTATTGAAGAAGAGCGAGAATGTGGAAACTAGGTGAAGACGGAGAGAAGCCGTACGCCGGTCAAATTAACGCCGGCCCACAGGGGAGATTTGAAAATATTAAAAGAAGCAAATGATAAACGAGTTTTATGTGCTACAGGGGTTTGGGGCTCTCAGATGTGGTGCCTGAGAACAGAATTCATTTCTTGAATAAATATCCGGTATATCTTCCTTAGATATCAATCTTTATGTTCTAAGCCACCATGCAATGAAGGCTTCAGAACAACGCCTGGTAATAATCCGAGCACACTTACATTTTGTTCAAAATGCTCTGGATGGTGAGACATGTTATTGTTCTTTTTTATTGTTATCTGTACTCTTTAAATCTTGCTCTGTGAAGCACTTTAGCTTGCGTTATTGCATGGAAGGCGTTAAATGATTCACGTTGAGTAGAGCTGACTATTTGACTATTACAGCGAGTGAGATGAAACGTCACCTTAGTCTTGCACCAGAGAGATCGTTTAGGAAATGATAACGCCTTTACTGGTGTAAATAGCACCTGATTCTCAGTGCTTATAATGCGTCATCCAAACAGCAAAAGGAACAAGCGTCACTTATGTGAACAGAAGATTGCTGCATGAAAATCGTCACATGGTTAATTGACACTGTAACTGCGTGAATGGCTTTGAAGACCAATTGCTTTGTGCATAAAAAACAAACCACATTCATGTGAGTGAACAAAAGAGATGCAATTGGTCCTGTTTGTAATGAGTAGCTACAAATCGGAATCAGAAACAAAGGATTCGTTGTGCAAAATGATGACAACTAGACAAAGCAACGTTAGGCAGCAGAGCTTCAAACTACAGTCGATGAAGTTACACAGACTGACGTGGAATTAAAGGGGCCCTATTAGGCTTTTGGGGATTTTCCTTAACTGTAGCGTGTTTATCAATCACAACAGAGCCGGCCAGCTAACCAATCAGAGCAGACTGGGCTCTGGTTTCAGACAGAGGGTGAAAAGAGGTGCTGCAGCACAGGCAGTATGAGAACAATAAAGAGCTTTTTGAACATTAAAGCATGTAAGCGTATCACAGTAGAGACACTACATTCAAATATCAACCTGAAAATGAGCTTAATAATAAGGCCACTTTCTTAATACATTTTCCGTGCTATGTTAGAATGAAAATGCTTGATCAAAGAGTAATGAATATGCTATAATATATATTTCAGGAGGGCAGAGCTCAACCTGCTTTCTGTATGCATTCCCAAACATTTGGATTCCTCACTTTAAATGTATGATACATAATTCAGCCACAAGACTGTGTGCTGGGCTTACTAAATAGTATAACTATAAAAGAAAGTTGCTTTTTTTGATGGCAGCTTTTCCCTCAGCTGAAATATATTTTACAGTCATACGTTTTTTCAGAGAGAACTCATTTAAGAGAAAATAGGGGGCTTTGATCGTTTGGGAAATGTACAACTGTTCAAAGGAATTAGAAAACAACGCGCACTATATTACATGGAGCAGTTTGAAGTTTTGTTTCACTATTTATAACGATCTGTCTTTTCCATTCAGTAATCTGCTTTAAAAAGAAAGGAATAGGCGCTTGTTTCCCCGCTCAGGATTAAAAAGCAATTCACAATATTTCCTTTTATGTTATGCTATGCTTAGCGTGATGAATAGTCCTTCATTATGTTGGAGTAGGAATGATAATATCCTTAATTACGGTGCCACCATTTTATATGCAAGCTCCCTATGTGCTTCTAAGGGAAATGCTCCTGTGTAGTAAAGAGACGAGTTAACATGTCGTATGCAGAGACTGACAGTTGGCTGCTAACACTGTGAGATAGAAAGCTTATCTTATTTAAAGAATCATGATCTTTCCACTCTGTGCTTTTAAAAATGTAACCCATCGTAGAAGAATTGTATACGTCATATATTGCTTTCTTTTTAACATCTCATTGAAAAATGTAAGTATATTAAGGAACACATTCACTGTTAACTAGTTGCCTATTAGCATGGATATAGCATTTTGGCTATTCATTATAAAGCACTAATAAAATAATTCTTTGTAGCTAAGAATATGTTTCCCATTGAAAAGTTAGATCTTGCTCATAACTAATTCACTTGTTTGACATAATTTACACATGCTCCCTATTCCAAAGACGTTTCCTTTTCCAGACACAAACTGAAAAAAACACATCATTCTCTTCAGTGATGGGTTACACCTTGAACAAATGTAATAACTGAACAAATATCATCTGCTGTTGATTTGGTTCTACAAACTCATAACTCCCCCACTGAGCAAATCATACAAAGAACATAATTAATATTGAACAACCTTACTATTAATACTCAAGTAATTTGAACATTCTTGAGGAAAGCCTTTCCTAATGGCCTTGTAGTTGTTCATGAGTCATGCAGAACAAGGCATTGCAAAGTTCTATTTAGGGACTAATAAAAAGACAACTCATCAAATGTGTGCTTATAAGAAACTAGTTCACTAGTTCATAGAACCAGTTTTCGAATTACCCATTTGCTTTCGGGGGAGCCCTATTTATTTATTTGTTTGGCAATCATATAGGCAGACCTGATGTTTCCTGCATTAGATCAAAATTCTCATCTCCGAAATCTCGATCGCTTTTTCGTATGCCTGGCTCTTGGTGCTTAGAAATCTTTTTCCGCAGGTTATTCTGCTGATCACTGCTGACTTTTCCCTGAATCCATTCTTGTGAAAGGTGCACTGAGGTGGATTTTTTTTGCGAGCGGCAGAGAGATCAATATACTTTTTGCCTCTTTGCAAATCTCACATCCACATTTAAAAAAAAAATTTTTTAAAAGCCATGGATACCTTTCATTCCACTCCATCTTTTCTGTGTCCAGTTAAAAGGCAGGTCATGGGCATCGTCAGGAAAGGTTCGCTAGCGCAGGTGGCGCCGGCGGCTGTGGCCGTTGTTGAAGCCTCTTCAGGCTCCGCATCGGCAGGCCTCTCCCTCGGTGTGGAGCTGTCAAACTCGACCCTAACGCCGCTTACAGCCGGCCAACTAAAAGTTGTTCCGTTCACGTTGTCATTTTTAGACTCCTTCGCTTCTTTGCTTGGGAATCCAAAAGCTGCGAGGCTTGGCTGTTTTCGTTTCGCCATATTTTTGATTTCAAAGCCAGAGTTAAAAGAAATATCAGTATGAAAATATCAAATACCGCGCCAGCATCGCCTGCCGTAACCATAGCAACGCAAGTACCATTTCGAACAGTGGGTATAACAATAAATCCTTCCTTTCCTCTCAAATGAACGAGCGCAGTGAAGCTCCGATGGAAACAGACAATACTCCAAGAAAAAACAAATTCTGTCAGAGCTGCTTTCAAAACAGCTAGGTGGGACACTGCGTGGCTTTTCACGAGTATATATGCCTGTCTGGCTTGATACCCAAACACATGGGCATTAAGAAAAAAAGTGACCTGGAAAGGCCAAACTTTTGTTTATCAAAACTGGGCTGCAGCAGTGATGCTTTGCCAGCTGTCAGAAGGTGCTTTGGGGCTGTTTTGTGATCGTGCTGCAAAGTAAGCACAATAGAAGCATCTCCTTTGTTAAAGAGGGTTTGGACCCTGGAGATGTTAATGTGGTCCAGAGGACATGCACTGAATTCGACCTGAGACTGCACTACACTGAAGTTTCATTATGAGTACTCATCAGTTTGCTTCTTGGGAAGAGTGATTAAAGACAGGAATATAAGAGAGATGTCTTACAGTTGATATAGGGATTATACAGTAAGAAAAGGTTATAGTGTGTTTTTTCACCATACATTTGTTATGATAAGATACGACTTGAGACCCTGCTGATTCTCCCTAAAGCTGACGGTAATTAACTCAGTGTCAATGTGAGTAACTGTGAGTGGGCAGACATTTGTCATGAAGGGGTTTCATCTTCCTTTTGACTTGTGTGAGTTAGATTATCCAGCTGTAGTTGATGAGTCATAAACACATTTGCTTCCTTCTTGGTTCCTAACAACCTTCAAGTGATGGCAGGAAGACAATTGAAAGAGCCATCGACCTGTTACTGACCTCCAAAATGAAGGTCTTTATTTAGAGAGAGAGCTCCTTAATGTGAAATAAGTTGAACATTTCTCAAGATTGAAGTGACGTTACTAATAGGACGTTCAAGGTCTCTTCAGACTTCTGTACCTCACACCAACTTTGTCAGCATGAATAATTATTTCAAATTGAAAAGGTTTCCGGAAGGATTTAACATATAATTAGCAGTTGAGAGAAAAGCTCCGAGACAGGTTTTACTTCACACAATAGCAGCCAACATTACAGAAAGAAATGTTTCGGTCTTTCAATGAGTAATGCAGTATTCAAATCCAGAGAGAAAGGAACAATCTGTCATATTATTATAAATGTGTGGGAGATTTTTAATATCCATATGGGCTGTAAATATTGTCTCCACCCTGTGCCATGCAGGCCCCTCAGTATGCAGTATTTCATTAAAATAAACAACCTATTTCTATGTTTACTTCTTCTCGCCTCTCTTGTTGAAGATGTGATATAGTGCAACCAGCTGTGGGAGGAGAGGCTGTTTGAATAAAACCTGCACACTCTTGGCCCTTGAAACTAAACAGCTGAAGGATATCAGGGAAGCTACACGGCCTATTATTAATATTGTGTTATTTTAATGACTTTCTAATTATGTGCACACGATCCTGCATTTAAGACATATTGTGATACACGCTCTCGTTGCATAACCACTTGACCACTTGTGTTATGAGTGCCAATGAATTACATTGTAATTTGGTTTGTCGACTTTTATTGTCACACTTAACCTTCAGGCTGTCATGTTCCGGGTCATACTGTAGTGATTAATGAGCTCTCTTCATTGTAGGATTTTTTTTTTTGTCGGTGTTTCATCGTAGTACAAAAGCTATATCAGTCCACTGGTTTGTAGAGGGCTCGGTGATAATTAAAAATGTAAATGTATTGCCTTACAGTACAATCATATTGTTAAGAGGTTCTATATTGAGATATCGTGATTCTCAATTATGATTTCTTAATTGATAATAGCAAGTAGGACAGGGTTCTACCCGCATATGGTTATTATTTCAACTTTGAAGAGGTTTGCAGGATTTTCATAATTTAAACGTTAAGCTTTATTTTTTTAGCTGCGTGCCTACACCCAATTATTCTGCTTAAATCAAACTGATATCTTAATAGTCATTGTATAACTGGAACTATAGTATAACAATAATTTAAATCAAACAAGAATGAACAACAATAGGCATTACTATGTAGTTATTTCATATGGACTAGTATGAAAACATGCTCTGTTCTGATATATATTGTTATCAGGATATGAACAACAACAGTTCAGGCCATATTGCACAGCTTAGTGAGCAGAGTGTGTGTGCTCCTCTGTGCTCCTCTGTTGCTCACACACACATGTCTCCACACATTTAGCACTTTGACCTGGTGTTGCATTTTAGAAACACTGCAAGGCGGCTGATGAACAAAGTTCAGACAGGCACTGACACCCCCACATGCAGCTTTTATCACGTTTCTTATAAGTGCCACCCAAAGGCTTGCTTGAGAAGCAGCTTTGATCTTTAAAGAAGGATGGCAGGAGCAGGGAGATGCTGCAGGAGGAAAAGTTGGTCAACCAAAATAGAAGCAGAAGGATTCTGTCAGGAGAGATCCACATCAGGAAACCTGAGCTGCCCGCTGAGGGGGAACGATACCGAACCCTGAAGAGAGAACTAAACATGCTGTCCATGTCACAAAAGATACGCTTTTAAACAAGGTCTCTGGCTCTACAACCCTGAAACCGACGGAAACTCTATAGGCTGCACGTTTGGAGTGAATATAAATGTGAAATACGTGTCATTCTTTGTTTTTTACCTGCAGGATGAAGGGAAAATTGGTGTCATCTTCAACGTGGGGACAGATGACATCACCATCGATGAGCCTGCTGTCATTGTAAATGACGGCAAGTACCATGTAGTGCGCTTCACACGCAGCGGAGGCAATGCTACCCTCCAGGTGGACAGCAATCCGGTTATTGAGCGATATCCACCAGGTAAGACTGATTGGCCTCACTATGTGGTTATACGATACATACAGAGTTGGCATGGAGCGTCTGGATTAACGAGAGAGGATTGCACGTCTGCCTCTCGAACATAAATCCTTGAATGACCACTTTTGAAATGTACTGTTTGAGAAAAAAAGATTGGCAATTTACCCAGTGGCTCATTTTAATTCAGCTCTCCCATCTAGTTATTTCATCACTCTGTGAGCTCTCTATTAAATTGCAACACACATACAACTGGACATAACCATATTGTGCAAACAATGTAATAAGCTGAAATTGATACATTTGCTTCAAGCTGCCTTGTATATGTTTAGCAATGAAATAATTTTCATTAGCCGCTGTCGTTTTTGAAGCCAGTCTGCCAGATACTTGGGAAAAAAAGTAGCAGATCAGAAAAGTAAGTGAAGCAGTATGTCTGTGTGAGTACATAAAAGATATCCATGGGTAGCACAAAACATTTTTCTGTTCAATTACTATGTAAATCTAAATTAATATCTATCTTTTTTGGTTGATCTATTAGCCTGTTCCAGGTCTATAGAGGCAGTGTTAACTAACCCGGGTGGATGATGTCGGTTCAGCTGATAAATTGTTGACATTTACAATTCTCTTGAGAACATGCTTAAATCCATATTCATCTGGCCACTTGTAAACACCAACAAGGTGACCTTACCATAACGTCTGTTTTGCATAAACATATTGATGGATTTAGCTGAATTTATACTGTCTTCTGCCAGATAAAAGGCTCAGCTCTAAAATGATGGATATGTGTTTTACATTTTAATCAGATGCTATAACATAAAATACTATGCTATACATAAATATGTACATAATTAAAGTAACTCTGCCTGAGGATAAATAACCTACTCCATATCCATACTCCAAAATTATATGATATACACATTTTATTCTGGTTCAGTGTTTTTGGAAAATCCAAATACCTTCATGGCATTGCATATTCAATGTGGATTGTATCTGCACGGGCACAAAGGCAAACAAACAAAATGGAGAAGATAGGATGCACCTTTCACACAGATTTTTTCCCCCGTACAAAAAGTTTAAAGCTCATCCATTTTGATACACTCATACCAAACATATACGCATAGACCAAAAAACCCAACGTTCATAATGTGATCACGACCGGCTGTGCTTTAACCTGCTCTGAACCAATCAACCAATTAACCTTGTTTAGAACAGGTGCTCCAGCTGGCGGAGCGGGAGGAAACCGAGTCCCTTCTGCCTCCAGCTGGTGCTTAAAGCACACAAGCACATGGCATCTGAATCCAGGAATTGTGCAATGGGTATAAAATAGAGTAATAGTAGTAATTTAGTGAAGTGTACATATAACCTCTTGGGCAAGTTTCCAAAATGCTTGTGAGGCCTTTGTGGATTCTAGGCCTGCACAAAAAAGACTTTGTAATTGTCACAGGAACTGCTCTGAAGCTGTGTTTTTCGTGACGTAACGTTTCTTTAAGTGTACAAGGATTTATAACTATTGTTGCCTTCAAACGGAAACCAAGTAACGACCTTTGTGTGAGGCAAAAATGCAAAAACTCTGCTTGCATTTCTCGTAAGCTTCAATTCAATTTTCATGCACCGTTTATTTACTCTGCATCCCTTTCCGTTTTCAACTGTAATCCTAATCCTTTTTATTCATTTATTGTCCAACAACATGGCTGACTTCAAACTGCTCTTTGTTTGTTTGTATCAGTTCATTTACATATTCATACAGAACACGTGAATTAAACAGGGTTTTAGAAAACCTACTCCACATGGATTTGGTACCCTACACTTGTGGTAGTTTATAAATAGTGTCAACAACAGTAAAGTCATAACAGTGTGGCTGATGATTGACAGGACTTCTTCTAAATCAACACAAGACTGAATGAAATGTATTTATGGAATTAGTATACACTGGGCAATTCTTATACTTTGAATCAAACAGTATATTTCCTGTCTACGTTTGTTTGCGATGAATTACTCTTCTGTGTTTGCATGTGGTATATAGAGAGGGGAAGTCCTATTAGCCCTGATTCCACAATGTAGTTTGGCATTTAATAGATCAATAGAAATAGGTTTTGGTGATGGAGCTTACTGTTTACCCACTTGTTTATTTAGTCTGAAAATCTCGTTCAGAATTAAACCACTACTGCTCCCATTGTATGTAACGCAGTATATCATGAAAGTACATTGTGGAATAGGAGTGGGGTGAGACTTCAGCCCTCTGTAATGACTGCAGTCAATTGTGAATGTATTGTTGGCTGCAACTACAGAATGTGTATCACTGTCTAAATGCTGAACTGTTTTCATGATTGTATTTGTTGAAGTGGCTGCTTTTCTTAATGCTTTCTTACCTGCAATAACTTCTTCTTTTTTATACAGTACCTAAAATCATTTTAAATTTGACTGCAATTGGAATCATGCATTGCTTAAAAAATAACTAAATAACTCTAACTAGGGCAGCACATTATAAATAGCCTAAACTCTAATTAATACAACCTCTGCTACTCGTAATAACTAGATAACACTAAGTAAAGCACAAGTTTCTTTTAACTCACAGCTGGGTTAAAATTGATAACTTGTTAAACCTGTTAGCCATTATAACTCTGTTTCTAACCATGTGATCTTTCAGCTTGCAGACTTTAACCTTTAATCTGTCTCTCCAAATTCTTTGAAGGACACTATGATAATGAACGACTGGCTATTGCTAGACAAAGAATCCCATACAGACTTGGTCGGGTAGTTGACGAGTGGCTACTCGATAAAGGTAAAAAATAAACTGATGAATAATTAATCCCTGAAATAAATACTAAATAACTCTTCCCCATGAGAGGTGCAGTGCCAGAAGACAAGGGTGACAAGTGACCCAGATGTAAACATCCATTTTAATTTGACCCTCTATTGCCTGTTGATTATGATTACCACAATATAGCTTTAAGTGGACTTCAAAATTAATGTCATAGTGAAGGGGAATGGCGTACTTGCCATTTATTCTTTGTCATCCTTAACCTTGTGGATAAGCTGCACCTTAACAAAGATTTAAACCGAATACCTAAAAAAACATAACCCTTGTCTAACCCTCTATCGTCCCTCTTAATGTGTAATTAGATACTGTGTGTAATTGCTATACATAAAATATCATTAATATGCTGTGTAACATTTACATGGAACTAAAACATTACGCACAAAATGACTATTTGTATATCAATAACTTACCCCGTTACCTTAACGTTTTTGAAAGAACATGTATTTTCTTGCATTTCTGGATAAATGAGAATTGGATTTGATTGCGATGTGTGAGAGTTCCTAAACGGGTCCTCCATTTCCCTTCAATGCATTCAGACCGGTTTGTCACCCTGGAGGCATCCAAGTAAAACCACGTTTTTTCACAAATTCAAAGCAACACGGGATGAATAATTGAAAAACAAATTATCATTTTGTGGGTGAAAGACTCCAATGAACACCATTGAATCTAACATGTGACACCATAGTCTCGTTCCTACTAAACTGAACATTTAAAAAAAAAAACTCCTGGATGTTATCTCACCAAATTAGTTTATTTCCCCTTTCGTGTTCCCTGCAACCTTGTATTACCTTATCTTGTACCGCCACAAACCACATCAGACTCCCAAGCTGATGTTTTCTTTTTTGCTGCGACAAAACAGGCCCTGACAGGCTGTTAAAGTAGATCACTGTTTGTAGCCAATAACTTTGCTAATAAGTATTCTCCAGAGAGGGGCCCATTACTGGAGCCCTCCTCCTCCTCTGATGTAACACTGCTTATCAGGGAGGCTGCCGACAGTCCTGCTGTTAGATTAGATATCATTGGGCCCTTTCAGGAGGTGAAACAATCATGGCGCCCAGAGCACAGCATGCATCAATGGCCTAATGGCTGATGAAGTCAGTGTAAGGGAGGGATGTCTTTTATTGTCATTAAGCTTTACAGTCTAAAGTATAGCAACACTAGCATGTTAATAATGTGCCCATCTCTTCAGAAAGAAGCCATAAGACTTGCATCCTAGCACCATCTGTTCTGGAGCTGAGTGATAAATAAATATACTGGAAAAAACATCTGCTCTTTCTCCTCTAGTGATGAATGAAAAAACCTTCTGTTGTCTTAGATAAATGTATTTATTAGTACTGAAACCTGGAAATAGAGTACACAGAGTGAGCTTGTTAAACCCTCTCCCCACATGCTGCTTATACCCAAGCTGCCATTAGAAAAAGGTTGTGCAGAGGGGTGCCTTATTGGTTGTCTCTCTTAAATCCAACAAAACCAGCCAGAATCGGTTCCCAAAAAGCATATCCCAGGTGTTTACCAATCTTTTGGATTTCGTTGGCATTTTGGAGTTATCCAACAGATGAATTTACAATGATTCAGCAATATAACATACATTTCTTTCTACCACACCCACAGACCGTCTGCTTACATCGTGATAATTCAACATGTCTCCGTCCAATCAAAACACTTAAATAAGAGCCTGAACATATAACCATCCTCTGATTGTAACCTGCATTTGTAAAGTCTAAATAATAACCTTGCTAATACCTAACCTTCCCCCTTTAAAGTTAGCGTCTAATTAAGTTTTAAATAGATGACTAAGTATGATGTTATAATCACAAAAGCCCACCTGGTTCAAATGATGTTCCTATGCAAGCTCTCCCGTGTGACTTCTGTATGTCTGCTCCACTATTCTCTTCCTTTTTTTTCCACCTCTTGCTCTCTCTATGTCTGTGTAACTTCAGGGAGACAGTTGACCATCTTTAACAGCCAGGCAGCCATTAAAATTGGCGGTCACGACAAGGATCGGCCCTTCCAGGGTCAGATTTCAGGGCTCTACTACAACGGTCTCCAGGTGCTCAAGCTGGCAGCAGAGAACGACCCCAGTGTTCAGGCGGAGGGGAACCTGCGTCTGGTCGGGGACTCGTTCTCTGTTTTGACCACCGACATCACCTCCGCCACCCCGCTGGCAGTGTCCGATATGTCCACCACAATCATGGAGACCACCACCACCATGGCTACGACCACCACCCGCAGACAGAGGTCGCCCAGCTTGAGCGAGAGCATCTCAAAGGTCAGATAGAGTATAAAAGTTGTGGGTTAGTAACTTACAGTAGATGAGGATTTTTTTGGCCACTTTTCAGGGAAATAAAACATATGGGATATTAAAATGGCTCAGTAACAGAACATCAAGCAAATACATCTGGGTTTTTTAAGTGGTTTGTAGAGATTGGGCTTTATTTTTGTAATATTGTTGCAAATATTTTAAGAATTATTAAGACTTTACATTGTTCTGTTTTTCCATAGTATTTCAAATGGCTCTGACCCAAACATAGCTCATAAGGAATGTGCCATCTAATTTATTTAATTCAAACAAACCGTATTTGATATTCTAACATTTCCCAAACTATTTACAGCGACCTTATTCATATTTTAGAGCATTCATACTGGGGTCAACCAATATTCAACTTTTTATTTATCAGTCAATTGTAATTTTCCTCTCAAAATCACACAATAAGGATTCATTTGGAACCAAAATGAATGATATGTTCAATCTATGTGTGTATTTTGCCCTATTTGAAAGCAGCATGTTGTTCTTGTATTCAACAAACTTTACAGTCTTAGAGAAACTCACCTATACACTAATGTTATCTCTAACTCAATGTCACTCTCTTTTATATGTTGCTCATGGTTGGAGATTTTTATTATGGGGACAATGAAGTCTTACGTATAGCACTCAAGCTCCTGGGTTATCAGGAAGTAAATAAAAGGATACAATCATAAACCAATGACAATCATACAGTACACAAATCTGAGCCCTCAATTCTCCGCTCTGGCAATGGCCTTGACCTTTGTAAAAATAAACTCATATTTTCTAATTAAAGAAAGATGAACTCAGTTGTTTATTGTGCCGGGGTGAAACTGCACATGAGTTCTCATAGTAAGGTAAATTATTCTTTTTGTGTAATCACGTCAGAAGTTGCTTATAGAGCTTAAATTAAAATCAAACAGCAATTACCTCCTTTAGATATGCATGTGATAATCACCGGAGGCTAAAATGATTCTGACCCTGAAATCATTCAAATCAAATGTCCCTTGTTTTCGAATGTCTGACGCATTTGTAGAATGCCATAATTATTAAAATGAGAGGCTACTTAAACCCTTTAGCTAACTGTGCATGCATTCTTACAACAGGTTTGGTCCCACTGATTGTAAATGCATCACGTATTTCACTTTATTCCCAAGTCTGCTAGGATAATAATAGCATTCATGCTTCAATATATTTGTATTGAATCCTTAAGAATTGTAGGCATGGATCAGTCACAATATATGCATCCAGACTGGTGAACATTAGAAACCAACATTTCAAACGAGTTGATTTTAATCCAAAATGCTGCAAACCTGCCAAATTGGAAGGATTTTAGCGCTTGTACTTGAAGTCCTGAGATTTAATTAAAAAAGTCCCCTGTCTCTTCTATTAAAAATACAGTGTGCATTTTCCATTATAATTCTTTTGTCTGGGCTCCCTTAAATTATCTTCTCTGTATTTTCAATTTATTTGAATAATCCAATTGCAAACCATCCATTCCCCGCTCTGCTCAGGTTTTCTGAGTCCACTGTCCGACCTAAAATCCAATTTAGACATGTTCACTGATTTAGCTTATTAGAATTTGTTTTTTTTAATGTTAATAAAAAAGAAGTGTACAAAGGGCAAATTACATAGAATCTAATGAAAACATCTGCTGACTGAGAAATCCTTCTCCATCAGCAGTACTCTGTGTAAACACATGAATTCAGCCACAGGGGTGGAGGATCAAAAGCAGCTGCATATGGGCACATTTTGAGTTTCTAGTCTAAGTAGCGTTGCTCCAAGCAACAAAAAACACGAAAGTGGCACAGTGCTGTATGCTGCAGTTTCCCCCTCAAATCGGGCAGTCAGCCAGCGAGACTAAATACAAGCTGAGCACAAATCTAGATGATGGGAATGTGATGACTCTATATTTGTAAAAAAACAACACTTTTTCTATCTTTGCCTTTCAGCCGCAGAACTCTGATGATATTTTGGTGGCATCAGCCGAGTGTCCAAGTGATGATGAAGACCTGGAAGAGTGTGAACCAGGAACAGGTGGGTCAGCCACAGAGAAAAGAAACCATGGGCGTCCAGCTCTCACACACCAAGACAAACCCCATTGAATTCAGGCAGCCATTAGTAATTTTCCATTCTCCATTTTCAGTTCATGTTTGTGCAGCTTTCATTTATACAGAAGCTTTGTTGAACCGCTGTTCTTACAGTCTCCACTGGTATCAATTCATTCAGTGCATTAGCTTTTAAGCCATGTCAGTAACTCACCTAATTGGATGGAAGAGTAGCGCAGTCATTAAGTGGGGAACACAGTGGACAGTAGATCAGGCTGTGTGACAGAAATGAGCTGTGGAGCTGAGACAGGAGTCTGCCCTTATTATGGCTGCCTCAATTATTAATATGACCTTATCAGAACTGTTTGTTGTTGACTGAAAAACACTGTAAAGTGTGACTCAAATAACGATGAAAGAGAAACGAGTGGCCATAAAAAACAACATACTCAAATATTCCTCCAGGAAAACATTCTGACCTGAGAGTCAAAGCTCAATGCAAAAGAAGTCAGAAGAATACCTATTATAAATACAGCTACATATGTGAGGGGGTTGTTTGATGAGGAATACAAATGTACAGAACACACACATTGCTTTCAATGTAAAATAACTTGCCTGTGTTTCTCCTTTTACCCCCGAAGCACGCCTTCAGATGTTTATACAGCAGCATGTCCTTTTAATTTACTCTGCTTTTGCTTCTTACTTGCTATGTTTGTTATATGCTCTTCATTTAGCTGCCGCCTTTCAGGGATCATCTTGTATGTTTGTGTCTACATGTGAGCTCTCTAATGTTCTTGTACTATATTTGAATAATGCTACACACACGATGTGCGCACACACTCCACATAAGACGTGTAGGTTGTTAAGAAAAAGGTGGTTTTAATTAATTAGTCTCTTCTTGTGCCGAATGTTGTGAATACTCTTGATTATAGAGGAATCATAATATGTGTGGTGATTATGCATACTAGCACTGATAAGCCAGCTAATATTAGTTTAATTCCTCAGTCAAATTATACGTAATGAGCAGATTGTGCCTCTATTTTAATGAGCACAAGTTTATTGCCTGAATTAAAATTGTAATTCCGCTCTAATTTAGGATCCCCTACCTTTTCTGTTTCCTTTTTAGGAGGTGAATTAGTGTTGCCTATTATAACAGTGGATTCCCTTGAGCCCCCATCTATCGCCACCCGTTACCCCGTCATCCCTCCTCCCCCTACCCTCCTCTCCCCACTTGACACCACCAAAGAGCCCCTGATACTCCCCCCTCACCCTTCCTGCCCCCCGGACCAGGAAGACTGTGGTGACCCTGTGGAGGTGTCGGCTTTCGGCTCTGGGGAGATGACAGAATCGGATGACGAGGACTTTTACAAAAATAACTCCCCCATGGTCACTGACAGGACAGTTCTTCCTCCACCTCCCACCGATGGTGAAGGTAGAGTCCAGAAACCCCGCCCCCTACCTCCTTATGTTCCCACCACCAACCCTGACAAGCTCCACATCCCCGCAGGCAAAATGAACACCCGTGACCAGGTGCTTCTGCCTCCTGCTCCTCCTTCTTCCCGAAACACACCAGGACTAACTTACCCCCCCAATTTTCCCCATGTGCCCACAGCCAACCCCGCAGCCTCTGATGAAAACAGCCAGCCGGGTGCCGTAGAGGTGATCAGGGAGTCCAGCAGCACCACGGGGATGGTGGTTGGTATCGTGGCTGCTGCTGCTCTCTGCATCCTTATACTCCTCTATGCCATGTACAAGTACCGCAACCGGGACGAGGGCTCCTACCAGTCAGACCAGGGCCACAATTTTGCCAACAATTCCACTGTGGAGGAAAACGGAGCAGTTATCAAGGACAAAAGCACAGCAACGGCCTCTGTGGCCAAGGCAAACACAAAGGGCAAAAAGAACAAAGACAAAGAATATTACGTCTGAGAGCGGAGTAGGAGAGAAGTGTGGACTGAGACAAGAGGTTGAGAGAGGTGATGCTTTCGTTTCGCTCCCGGGTCGACCATCAGAGACATTTTCACAGGCCACAAAAAACAACTGCACAAAGCGAGGCTTGCTTTTTTCATTTTTCTCAAAAGTCAAGGTTTGCCCAATGATAAAATTCCTTCTCTACAGAACAAGATCTGAATAATTCTCCGGGTCATAATGTGCACCCGGTCTGCGTTCACCTGTTCTTTGTTAGTGTATCATTTTTTTCTAAAAATGTTTTCAACAGGATATGAAGAGGCATACCCGTTTTGGCTTTGTATATAGCATGGTACAGTGGAGAAAGTGCGAGAACATCTGGACAGATTTGCCTAAATGTCTTCTTTGTACCTCTTTGTAACGCTCTATCTCAAGTCTCAATGTCCCCATCGTGATATATGAAGCAGGACAGGGCAGTTATTGAATTTCAACGGTAGATGAGCAGAAAGCACCCAAGTTATTCTGACTACACTCGAAATGAAAGCACTTTTATTTGAATAAGATATCATCTCTGCAGTCTCATTGTTATGTTAGGTGGTTTTAAAATTCACTCTGCCTCTGTCCATGAGAGTTGGTATTATGTTGCTGGTGCAGTATCATAAATGAAGCATATATAGAAAAAGACGGCATTCAAAAAGAGGAATTATGAAACACTACGTTCTCCGGCCAGTGAACCTTATAATATGATGGATCAGAAATGTTATTTATGTGAGATCTCAGTCAGGATAAATGTGATAAAGTCAGTCTACACCAGTGAAGGTATTTCTCTGTAAACATTGCTTGTATGTACATATAGAGGTTAGCCAATTGAAAAAGCATTGTGTCCGCTGGGGAACAGGTATGAAGAAGAATAAACGTCTGAGACGCTCTGCCCCCCCCCCCCCCTTCCTCACACTCTATCACATCAGAACCGCTGCCGCCCGAACTTCACAGGTTCTGTAGGAAAACTGAAACACATTCGAGGAAGTATTTCTTCTTGGAAAGGGAGAAGCATCTCGTCTCACCAGAGGCTGGCTCACGCTTGATCTCTCAAAACTGTCACGGGATCATTCAAAAAGTACACGGAAAATGTAAACATATATTTGAGACATAAACACTCCTTGTAAAGCAGCCAAACATGTATTGTTTTTTCTATCAGTTACTAAGAGACTATTCTATGAGATGAATAATTGAAGGTTTGTGAATTGTATTGATATTTCGATGTATCTTGTTACCACTCCTCTTAACACATACCATTTTAGATTGCCTTTTACTTAAATCCAGACAAGAAGCACACTTTCCTCTGAAAGCTGCAAATATCTTCTGTTTTTGCATTATTGACGGTTCAGATTATGCAGAGAAAACACAAGGATGGAACAAACAAATGTTTTGTTTTGTTGCATTGTGCATTTTATATGTGCTGAGTCTGTTACTCAATGGATCTGAAAATATAAAGCCATTTTCTCTGTTGAGTTATGTCTACATTTACTTATTCATGCTCTGTGATTTCCTGTTATTTTTTATGAAAGTGCCATTCAACATGAGCTGCTCAGCACTCAGAAAATATTCCATTCCTCACTCATTGCTATTGTATAGTGTTCATGTGAAATGGATCTTAATATGTGTACAGAACGTGGATAAAGATGAAAATACACTTGATTATATACTTTGTACACACCTGTGTTGTGTGTTGCTTCTTGTAGATTCACAAAGAAAATGTACTCTTATTTGTCTTACATTTTTTAAACACAGGTGTAAATGACAGAGTTTTGGAGGTCAGGGGAATTTATAAATATAATATACTAATCTATCTACTAGGGATAATCATTGTGAGTTGTGAATCTTTTGGGATAAAAGCAACACAAAGAATTAACAGTGATTTAATTTTAAAATGGTCATACTTTGCTAACAAGATGGTTTAACACGTTTAACATGAAGAAACAGCATTTCACACAAATTGCAGGTCATGATGTGTTTTAAAATCGTGTCTTACACTGGAGTTTCATCATCATCTCCTCTCTCTCTCTTCCTCTCTCAGGCACTGCGTAGTTCTGGTGTGTTAGTGACGCCTAGATGACCATTATTTAATATAGAATGAAATGTTTAAGGGTTTACTCGCACGCTACACTTCCTTCTGTCGTTAAGGTCCACTCTTTACTTTAAAAAAAATGTATTTCAACGAAGCAGATTAGGACAAATGAAAAAATATATAAAGCCTTTTGAACCATGGTTAGTGCCACTTATATGATCAGGACTAGACTAAGAGTTACTAGTAACTTGAATGTTCAATGTGAGTGTTTGAAAGATGTAGGCATCTAGTAAGCAGAGGGTCTAAAAGGTGCTATCACATCAAAGGAGCTACTATAATATTAGGAGAATATAAATGTAGGATTTAACAGCCTCTGTTATAATATTACAATATTAAGTAAGTCTACTTTATTTAACATCAGCAACATCAGTAACATACTGTACTATGCCAAAGGTTGTTGACCATATTTTGAAGCTTCAGACTATAGAACAAGAATATTTTTTCAACTAGTGTTGTCTCAAATAGGTCAGCATAGGTATTATTTACTTTAGAAAAAATTGACAATATGCACAACTTCTGATTGTCCAATGTATTGATGGTTGATTTAATTAGTAATTTGTTATGGATACATGTGTCACCTGACCTGCATATTTCAATTTAAAGAAAGATCATGTTCCACCATCTCTCTGATGAAAACACTAATCTGTATGCTTGTCAGCAGTAGCGTGGTTTGTGTTGTTCTACTACCCCCTGCTGAGAATACAAGGAACTGTGAAATGGAAGGAAAGTTATCTCCACATCACTGAACACCAGAGTGATGTATAGACTGTAGTTGCCCCCCACTAAAGCAGCCATCATTTATCCTGTGAGAGCAGATGAGGTTTATCACAAAAGACAAGAATTTAGACAGATTGTATTTCAAGCAGGCTAGGTCACCTGTCCCATTAGTCGTTCGTGTTGAGACAGATGGGGAACAATCCTGTGGGCTTATTGTCGGTGCAGGTCTGGTCTATGTGACGTCTGATATGTGCTGACATTGGCCATGAAGAAGGGGTAGTTTGAGGATACAAGAAGCCACTATTGAGCATTGCCAAAATGTCACAAGACTAATTCAACAAAACAGCTATGACAAGAGAAGCCCAGATGACAACCCGTATGTCACATCCGCTCCTACCTACCTCTGTTCCCTCAACATTCAAGCAAGATTTTCTTCAGACAGTAAGTATTTATCCTACAGTTGTTTATTTAGTTCCTTATTTCTGAGAGTATATGTGCTATATACAAAGTGTATATACTGCTTTTTGTGGATAATAATAATAATAGGTAAAAGGTTGTCCAAATACATTATCAAATGTATGTCAGATGTCAGTCAAGTATGTAATTCAGTCATCGTATCCTCATTCAACAATAAGTGATTAGATAAGAATGTTTTCCTTTTCCACTACATTTATTTAACAACTTTAGTTACTATTTAAGAATAATACAACATATGTTACTATAATCTATAGTAGATTAAGCTATACAGCAATATTAAGATGCATCATTTAAGGTTAGCAAGTTAGCAAGTTGTTGCATCAATACTTATGATCCAGTGAGACTTCTTTTGTTATTGTATTAATATTGTTGGTGAAGTAGAGGATACAAATATTGTTTTAATTTAGCAATGACTTGCCTGAATCGTGAAACAAACAGGTACTTTATAACGTGTGTTTATCCCTTCCCCTCTAATCCTGACCCTTGACCCTATATTGTCTGGTAAACCAAGGACAGCATTTTCAAGCCCCAACAACCACAATCTCGGTTCATGTACAGTAGGCCTACTCATTGTCCATACATCTCTGTATGAATTAAGCGCTTTAAACAATATGTCTCATTAATGGTCTCAGTAATAAAAGCACTTGAGCGACGCCAAAATAAATATACAACTTTTTAAACATCAATAAAATACACTCATGGCATAAACTACAATTCATGTCAATGTCTCTCTTAAAAACCCTTCCCATGACGTCACTGTATACGACCAATCAGCGCCTGGGAATCTCTCTCTCCCCCTCTTGATCGCTCTTTGTGCGTACGTGCGTGCATGCGTAGGTCCGTGCGTGTGTGTCAACTAGTTGTTAGCTAACGCTAGCTATACAGTTAGCTAGCTTGTTGAAACATTTTAACATAGGCTCCATTTTACACCAATAAACAGCTGTCGTCCGTCATGAGAGAGGACCTCCGCTCCCGCTGCATGTCTGTCAACCTTTAATACCAAAGAGGATGGGGGGCCCTCAGGAAAAAATGACAAGTTAGCCAACGCAAGCAAAAAGTAAGCTACAGTTTTTGGACAGGCTCGCTAGCATCCTGAGAAGGAAAGCTCTGAGATTTTGCAAGGACTGGATGCGGAAGGAGGATATGAGCCAAGCTGGACAACTAATGCTAATTGTAAGGTTTGAGCCAAATGTGGAAAACATTTTAATGTAAGCACAATTATCAAACCTATCAAGCTAACATTAGCTAACGACGAGGAACTAACAATCGCCTAGCGACCAGCGGTTAAGCTAACTTGTTGTTGACGGTTGTCGTTACATTTCCCCTGCTAACGATAGGGACATTACCCAGGATGAAATGCTGATGTATGCGGCCTAGCATTAGCCGGTAACTAGCGTCAAGCAGTCCAAATATGTTTAATGTTTGTCAGTCAGTCTGCAGTATTATGCTGCTGCTACCAATCGAGTTTTTATATTCACCGAGGTGGTTGAAGGCGTTGTTGGTTGAACAGTTAGAATTTCACGGAGAATAAATGCACAGAGATATTCGTGGGCTAGGCTAAATTGCCTGCTAGTTTGCTAATGTCAATCAGAAAACTTAATCTAGCTGGCACACCATTAGCCTGTAGATGAGAAAAGGGAGATATAAGCTCTGTCATCCTCTTTTAAATCTGATAGATACATCGACTATTTTGTTTAGCTTCCCTGATTATTTGTTTTGGACAGAAGACATTGACTGACAAACAAGTTTGTAATGATTGATTGTAACGTTAGCGTGTGCCAGTGTCAGTTAAAGCCATTCTAATCTGTGTTTTTAATACTTAAACATTCTACAACTCTATTGTAGTAGCAGCTCAAATGATTATTATTGGTTGATCCATGGTAGAAGTTATACATGAAAAAAATATATAACGTTTTATATCAAACTCAAATATAGTCCCATTGATATGGTGATAGTTTCTGACTAATTAAAGATCAGTTGAAAATCAAAAGAAAACCACAATGTTTCGTTATTATCATTTGGAATTTAAGGAAGTAGCTTACTCAAAGCAAACAAAACAACTAGAAACACTCTTTAAAGTGTTTATCTAAAGATTTGATATGTGCATGTGGACAGTTTAATTTGTTTTGAATACATCTAAACCTTTTTTGTGACTTGCAGTGTACTTTTATGAGCAATAATTTGCGTCCACTGAATGCAATGTTTTAAATGTTTTTGATCTTTCTTACAGATGAATGTTTTTTCATACATTCAGTGGGTTTCCAATGTGCCAAAAAGTCCCTCACCCGATTACCCAGCAAGGATTAGGCTAGAGGGAGGCAGCGTTGGTGCAGGGAGAGAAGACATACTGGCTCAAGAATATGCAAGGACTCTTGACCTCAACTGAAGTGTACATATCCAAGACAAACTGTTGTCCTTGATGAAACAGTCTCTGTTAACCTGCCATTCCCAATGGAAGTGCCATCATAGACACAGGATACTGTGGCTCGAACTGTTGGACAGTTTTTTTTAACCACGGCCTCGGAGGAAGCATTTGAGCTTCTGGTTAGACTCAAAGGTGAAGATGGGTTCCCAAGCGCTTCAGATATTACGGCAGGGTGTGTGGGCTTCCCTCACTGGAGGCTGGTATGTGGACCCGCATCAGAGCACGTTCTCCAACTGCTTCCACCTCTACCTTTGGATATTTCTCCTGGCCTTTCCCTTTCTTCTGTACATGGTAAGCACATTTTCACAGCAGGTTGTTTGTAAGTGTAACTATATCAATAATTTGTATGCAGTACATGGTTGATACATAGCTTATTTATATCATATTTAGATCTCTAACAATACAAATTGCATGAGATACTACAAAAACATTCAACGATAAACACCTGTTTGGATACCACAGCATTTGCAAAATGAGGTCACATTTAAAGGAAACTGTTACTGTTTTGATATTGATTTCATAATATCCGTATGAGCTGTGTTAACATTCAGTTTCATTAGGATATCTTGGTGGCAGCAGTGAAAGTGAATGCATCACATCTGTTGTTACTATAAAACCATGTGTATGCAGAACAGCAGTAGGTAGGTCATACAAGTTTTACCAGGGAAGAATGCAAGAGCTTATGCAAATTCACAACTGACAGTGTGTGCAAACATTATCATCCTAGTTCTCCTATGTTGAAGTGTTTTAACAATGTCAGTGTGTCCCTTATATACATTCAGCCAGCCAGAGAGCACACCTTTATCTATTTAATATAGTTGTAAAAAATAAAGTAAGAAATCATTCCAATGTGTGTACTATAGCACAGTACAAAAAATAGTTTTTAAAAGGGGAGTGATTAGTAAAATATGCATAAAGAATGCTACCTAGGTGACATAAGATAAGAATAAACAAGTTTAAATGAT